GAATATGCTATAGGGCATTCCTCCTGCAACATCACTGCTCCCACGGCATATGAACTAAAATCTATCGATAGTGTTACTGCTTTATTGACATCATAGAATGCCAGTAATAGAGCTTTCTTCAATGCAGTTTTCAGACTATTAAAAGCATTTTGTTGCAGTTGGTCCTAGTTCCCGGTCATGCCTTTTTGAAGTAGTGAATGAAGAGGTTCAGTCATAGAGGAATAGTTTGGAATGAATTTGGAAACATAATTGGTCATGCCTAAAAATCATTGCAACTCCATGATACTGGTAGGGACTTTCATACTGTTGATAGCTTTGACTTTCATGGGGTTGATCTGGACCCCTTGGGCACTAAAGATATGACCCAGAAAGTTTACTGACATTTTCTCAAATGCACATTTTTCTTTGTTTAACTTAACACCCTGCTTGTACAGGTGGTATAATACTTCATTGGTGTATTTATGTCAGTCTGGTATAGTCTGTCCAGATCAAAATGTCATCCATAGAACACTCGGTGTTTTGGCAGCCAGTTGTACACAAAATCTATGATACAGCCAATACCTCTAAAAATATTATCTGGCACTGCAACTTTAGGTTCAACAATTTCTACTCAGCATACAAGATTGAGCTTTTTGCAGGTATCTTTGCCTAGCAATGGAGAATATTTGCCTTCTATGATTGGGCAAATTGTCTTCTATGTAATTCTTCAGTGTAGACAAGTTACAGTTGGACCATTAAAAAAATATGGACCAACTGTTTCTAACTTAGAAACACCACACTAAAAATTGAACTTAGGAGAATTCTGTATGTGCCCTCTCAGTTTTTGCAGATTCTCTGTAGCTCAAATGAGGCAATTGTGTTTACTAATTTTTCCACCAAAATGAAATATGGCTTTACCTGAAAAAGTATAGAAACTGAAGAATCTATTTGTAACATTTCCATAAAAATGCCATCTTCTATTGCAACATTTCTATTAGCATTTGAATATGGTATGGCTTCATTCCTAAATCAAACTGGAGAGTTCTGCAAAGTGATCATTGAGCGAAACTGGTTTTTAGTTCTAATCTAGGAATTGATTTTTTAGGCTGTTTAGGATTGTTCCTTGAACACAAAACATTTTATTTTCCATTCTGTCATTTTTAGGTTGTCCACTGTTCCACTTGGTCATTTGCAATAGACCATGTTTCTTTAAATTTCTTATAAATGTGATGAATAGTTAAATTATTTGAAGGATTCTTGTTATATCACTTGTGGATTTTTTTTCTCACTACTGATGATCACTACTAAAGACTCATCTATGCTGCCAACTTTTTTTTGTCCATATTTAATTATGTAGCCCTGTTTTATCTGAAACTGAAAAATGTTGACTGAATAACTTCATATCATTTGGCCATTTGGTTGTAACATTTTTTTCTCAACCCGTTATTTGTGTCACTCCTTTGAAATTCATCTTTGACCTTTGTCACTCTTTCATTATATTACTTCTTTGATATACACACTGTAAAATTATAATATTTATAAATGTGAGACAAGCAGGGAGTCATGACAATCCCAATGACCACTTACTCTGCACAAGATCTTACGATCTGATCTCTAACTTTTAAGGAGGGCTTTAAAAGTTTTTATAAGGATCTAGATTGTGAGATCAGATCCACGTCAATAAGATGATTGTAACATAATGAATGAGATATAATGAATAAGATCGTTTATATAACAATAAATTTAATATAACTAAACTAAAGAATGAATACAAAGTAAAATACACAAATGAATAAAAATACATTAAATGGATCTATGTATATATGTCTCTTTAATCCGAAATTAAGTTCGGTGGACTATCATTACAGCTTTCAGGTTAGACACTTCTCTTATTGTTTCCACATATGCATTTCAGATAATAAAAGAAGTGTCTAACCTGAAAGCTGTAATGATAGTCTACCGAACTTAATTTTGGATTAAAGAGAGATATATACATAGATCGTAATAACAGCTACCAAAAGTGATATTTACATTAAATGGAGTTACCAATATTACATTCGGGACTTATCCCATAAAGAGATCAAACTATCTGACTTAAATCTCAATTTAACCTAATTGCACAAAACCTAACATTTATGTGCAGAGAGAGAGTTCACATCAATCTAACAGATTATACTGCCTTCACAATTTCCTTAAGTATCTTGTATTTGAACACTTATTCAGGATCAGGGAGACGTTTAGGAATCATAACATCTATGGATGCACTATTTCAGTATGGTCGACATCTATGTGGTGGTCCTCCTATCTTAGAACGGCCTTTGTCATATGTTATATGACAAGTACTTCTTTCGATGAACTATCTCTTATGGCATGTTCATACCTCCTTGAACTGCCAGGAGTGGCGGAAAAAAGTCCCTTTTACACAAGTCGACGGCCTAACAGACAACCAAGTCTCGTGTCTGGCCGCTTCTGACTCAACTTCCAAGTTGGCCGTAGGAAAGGAAGTTTACTTCCTTTCAAAAATGAAAGTATTAGCATCCCTTGTGTGAATTAAACTATTATAGTTATAAAATATTATTTTTNACTTCTTTTATTGTTTCCACATATGCATTTCAGATAATAAAAGAAGTGTTTAACCTGAAAGCTGTAATGATAGTCTACCGAACTTAATTTTGGATTAAAGAGACATACATACATAGATCATAATAACAGCTACCAAAAGTGATATTTACATTAAATGGAGTTACCAATATTACATTCGGGACTTATCCCGTAAAGAGATCAAACTATCTGACTTAAATCTCAATTTAACCTAATTGCACGAAACCTAACATTTATGTGCGGAGAGAGAGTTCACATCAATCTAACAGATTATACTACCTTCACAATTTCCTTAAGTATCTTGTATTTGAACACTTATTCAGGATCAGGGAGACGTTTAGGAATCGTAACATCTATGGATGCACTATTTCGATATGGTCGACATCTATGCGGCAGTCCTCCTATCTCAGAACGGCCTTCATCATATGTTATATGGCAAGTTCTTTCGATGAACTGTCTCTTATGGCATGTTCATACCTCATTGAACTGCCAGGAGTGGCGGGAAAAAAGTCCCTTTTATACGAGTTGACAGACTAACAGACGACCAAGTCTCGTGTGCAGCCGCTTCTGACTCAACTTCCAAGTTTGCCGTAGGAAAGGAAGTTTACTTCCTTTCAAAAATGAAAGTATTAACATCCCTTGTGTGAATTAAACTATTATAGTTATNGTGAGACAAGCAGGGAGTCATGACAATCCCAATGACCACTTACTCTGCACAAGATCTTACGATCTGATCTCTAACTTTTAAGGAGGGCTTTAAAAGTTTTTATAAGGATCTAGATTGTGAGATCAGATCCACGTCAATAAGATGATTGTAACATAATGAATGAGATATAATGAATAAGATCGTTTATATAACAATAAATTTAATATAACTAAACTAAAGAATGAATACAAAGTAAAGTACACAAATGAATAAAAATACATTAAATGGATCTATGTATGTATGTCTCTTTAATCCGAAATTAAGTTCGGTAGACTATCAATACAGCTTTCAGGTTAGACACTTCTTTTATTGTTTCCACATATGCATTTCAGATAATAAAAGAAGTGTTTAACCTGAAAGCTGTAATGATAGTCTACCGAACTTAATTTTGGATTAAAGAGACATACATACATAGATCATAATAACAGCTACCAAAAGTGATATTTACATTAAATGGAGTTACCAATATTACATTCGGGACTTATCCCGTAAAGAGATCAAACTATCTGACTTAAATCTCAATTTAACCTAATTGCACGAAACCTAACATTTATGTGCGGAGAGAGAGTTCACATCAATCTAACAGATTATACTACCTTCACAATTTCCTTAAGTATCTTGTATTTGAACACTTATTCAGGATCAGGGAGACGTTTAGGAATCGTAACATCTATGGATGCACTATTTCGATATGGTCGACATCTATGCGGCAGTCCTCCTATCTCAGAACGGCCTTCATCATATGTTATATGGCAAGTTCTTTCGATGAACTGTCTCTTATGGCATGTTCATACCTCATTGAACTGCCAGGAGTGGCGGGAAAAAAGTCCCTTTTATACGAGTTGACAGACTAACAGACGACCAAGTCTCGTGTGCAGCCGCTTCTGACTCAACTTCCAAGTTTGCCGTAGGAAAGGAAGTTTACTTCCTTTCAAAAATGAAAGTATTAACATCCCTTGTGTGAATTAAACTATTATAGTTATAAAATATTATTTTTCTATTCGAGATTAAAAGATTATTGTTCTAAAGAAATTATTCATAAAAGAATAATTTCTTTAGAACAATCCCTATCCATAAGGATTCTCATATAAATATCACTCAGATGATATTACATCTAAATATTTTTTGCTATATTAATTTAAGAAAATATATTGTAGAAAATAGAAATGCATATACTCAAACTTAAGTGTAGTGTAGAATGTGAATCACTGCTTGTCAAATTTTGTAGAAAAGCATTGATGACATGGCAATTAGTTATATTTGTGAATTATGATTTTTATTTATTATTATTTTAAGTTGAAATTATAACATTTCATATGGAAATAGATATATATATATATATATATATTTTGGTATATAATTTGGAAGGTTTCATTCTATGTTGAAAGCTACGGAAGTTTTATTATTACAGTTTATTGACTTATTGTTAATGATTAGATTTTTGTTACTTTTCAATTAATAGCAGTTAATTAATTAATTGGTGATTTTACTGAAAAATACACATAAAAATTGTTATAATACTTCTCTATGCAAATTCTTGTTTGCATTAACCAGAAAATGCTGTGTCAATCACTTGTTACTGTTTATCGTATCTAGGGCTTTAAAAGGCAACTATTTATATCATCACGTATGATCTGTAAGTAATCTGGTAATTAGATCTTTGGTTAATTAAATATTAGGGTATTGTTTATTAATATTTTATTCCTGATTATAGGCATTGAATTAAATTCTGAGCCTGTTTTCAAAGCATTTCCATCCTGGTCTTCAAATAATTCAGTTCAGATAAATATGTTGAAAAAGCAGAACTCTCTAAACTCAATTGAAAGAGTTACAGATTTTAAATCAGTAAGAGAGAAAGAAGATCCTAACTTACAGAATATTTTACATTCCACAAATAACAATTATGAAAATGATTTTTATGATATCAGTAAATTCCTGGATGATATATGTATGCAAGATGAAAGTCGTAAGTTTTATTCTTTTTTATTTCTTGCTAACTCTAAAACTTTTGCAGGTTATAAGTCATATACAATGATGTCATGATTTATAATATATTGTATATAATAAAATTTCCTAAACCAGAGCCTGTACAAAACAGAAATTTGCCTAAATGGAAAATAAATCTTGTATTAGAACAGTTTCTTATGTAAAATAATATTGTAAACCAGAAATTTGTATAATGCAGAAATGGAAGTTTGGGTATTGATTGTGTAACATAACTCAAGAAAATGGAATTCATTATCTATAAACTAGCTTACCCATTGTGCATTGCTGCGATCTCAGAAGAAACGAAATTCAAGCCAACTCGTTATAATAAAATTCAATTTACATTTTATCATTTTTATTGAAACTTATTATTATTATTCATTTTCATCGGGAAAACATTTCAAAGTGTCGTTTCAATTCTATTTATTTATTGGAGTGCTTGTGGATACACGATATTTTTTTGTTTTTCCGTCTGGTGTGTACACGAATAAATCAGAAGGTTTTCCAACGC